TTCAATTTCCCCTTCTTTCCCCTCTTCGGAAATAGGACTGCCTCTACCTGGAATTGAAATGGTTACATTGTGCTTAGCAGTGCAACACCATAACCACTACAGAGCACTACGGCGATTTGCCGATTAGTTTGCAGCGCTGGAATGTCATAGATTACTAATCTGCGCCAGACTTTCAGGGCAAAACTTCCAAGTCTTAAAATGCAGGTAAATGAATTTAAGCGGCGATATCCACCCAGTATAGGCCTAAAGATTTCTGACGAAACAGGGAATTTTATATTAAAAAAAACCGTGCAGCCCCCTTGACATATCTTCTCGCACTTGATGATGGCTCGGTGAGCAGGTTGGTATTGCATCTATAGAAAAGTTACAGGGTGAGAGTGACGGCAGTGGAATAGTGAGGCAGGAAGAAGACGCCGTGTCGTGTTTCTTCTTCACTGTGTCCCCGTCTCTGCGTTGTAACGTAGCTGGAGTATTTATACAAGCATATATTTTTTTTTTATTTAACGGCGGCTTTCAAACGACCACCACCCCTCCCCCGCTACGCTGTGATTATATGAGTGAAGCCAGGTTTCGCCTTTGATTATATGAGTGAAGCTAGGTTTCGCCTATTTGTGTTAAAAGAGTAACACCTGCCAATTTTTTATCATTGTGGTGCGCAGCCGGGGTGTCATGCAGAAAAACAGGCCTTTTCAGGGATGTATAGTTATTGTTCTTGAATGGCGTGTTGAAATGATGGTGTGCGTGCTAAAAGCCCAAGCTGCCGATTCCGACGAGATTTCACGCTCCTTTTGAGAACTTGAAAACATAGGAACTACGGACACGATAAACAAGCCACCTGAAATGAGCAACACCATGATGCATTTTGAGCAAACGAATAGCTTTATAAACGGAAGATATGAAGTGGCCCTCCCTTGGAAGGATAATTTCGAGCTTGTAAGCAACAAACAAGTCGCCGTTACTCGACTGGACAAGCTTGTCAGCCGTCTCGACTCCAGGAAAGGACTGCTCGAAACGTATGACCGTACCATAAGAGAGTACTTGAGGGCAGGACACGCCGAAGTAGTCAGTGATGTACCTGCAGAGGTGACGAAGTTATATTACATGCCGCACAAGGAAATCATGTGTGAACAAGCACTGACGACGAAAATGAGAGTGGTATTTGACGCTTCGTCACATGCCAAATGATGCAAGTCCCTTATGACTGCCTTGAAAAATGTGACAACTTATACCAAGACCTCGTGCAAATGTTGCTACGCTTCAGAACGCACCCGGTGGCAGTTATCGCGGACATAGGAAAGGCATTCTTTCAGATTGCGATTCGGGAGGACGACAGAGACGCTTTCCGCTTTCTCTGGTTTGCAGAAGAAGATTTATCCAAGGGCAAGCTGCAAGAGTGGAGGATGACACGAGTGCCTTTTGGAGCTACATATAGCCCATTTTTGCTCACAGCTACTATTCTTTACCACGTGAAAAGAGCACCGGCTGCCATGGCACAAACAGCGCAAACTCTTGCCGAGTCATTTTACGCTGATGACTTATATAGTCACTGGTGCCGACACAGAAGAGGAAGCCGCCAAACTTTGCCGAGAAGCGAGCACAATAATCAAATCGGCCGGCATGACATTGCGGAAATGGACAACAAATTCAGGAAATTTGATGCGAACGCTTGAAAATCAAGTAGAATCTACTAGTAATGAGATGGTCGTTCTTCACGAAACGTCGGTCAAGGCCCTGGGTTTGGTTTGGAATCCGGCAAAGGATGAATTCAACTTTTTGGTTGAAAATATTCTCCGGTTTTGGACAGCACAGACGGACACAAAACAATTTGTCTTGCAGTCAGCATCAAGAATATTTGACCCGTTGGGATTTGTAGGACCATATACTATTGCCATACGAATATTGTTTCAGAAGCTGTGGATACGAGGGATTGGCTGGGATGAAGTACTACCCAATGACCTGCAAAAAGAATGGAATGATTGGGTCATCCAGCTGCCGGAACTGCAAGACGCCGTCGTTCCTCGCTATCTGGGCGGCGGAGCAAGGAAGCCCAATGTGCTTCAGGTACATGTTTTCTGCGATGCCAGTCCAGCGGCATACAGAACAGCGATATACGTCGTGTCAAGTCCTGAGGAGCCGAAAGTGTTGATTGCGAAGTCCCGTGTAGCACCCATTAAGGAGACAACGCTGCCGCGATTGAAGCTTCTGGCTGCCTCAATCGGGTCAAGAATGTTGGCATACGTGAAAAGCGCTTTGAGGAATGTTCAACTTGACTACACGATGTGGACAGATTCCGCCATTGTGTTGTCATGGATAAAAGGTGACGTCAAAAAGTAGAAACAGTTCGTAGCCAACAGAGTCAATAAAATTAGGTGCACTACAGATCCATGAAAGTGGAGATACTGTCCTGGAACGGACAACCCGGCTGACCTACTCACGCGTGGCGCGACGCTTGAAAGACTGCTGTGCAGCTCAAAATGGTGGCATGGTCCCGAGTGGCTAACTAAACCGATGTCTGAATGGTCCCTACAGTTCAGTGAACTAGACATAGCAGAAGCCACCCAAGGTGAAGTTACAACAGTCCACGTCGCACTAATGACACGCTTCTCAGTTCTGATAATCGACATTCAACGGTACAGCAGGCTTCAGCACCTACTCAGAGTCACTGCGTGGGTTTTCAGATTTGCTGACCGATGCAGAAAAAGGACGGTTCATACAGGACATCTCGTGGCAACAAAAATCCTGAACGCTGAAGAGTATTGGATAAGATGTACACAAGAGCAAGGCTTTCTTGAAGAACTCACCGGTTTGACCAACGGCCAACCAGTCGAGTCTACATCTCGAATCGCTGAACTAAGCCCTTACATAGACAAAGACGGAATTCTTCGGGTTGGAGGCCGTTCATACCTCATGCATTCCACGCAAGATGTCAAGCACCCAATCATAATACCGTCAAGCCACCACTTTTCGGCACTTTTGGCAAACAGAGCCCATCTTCAAGTCATATATGGAGGAGTTAGAGATACACTTACGCAGCTTCGGGAACTCTACTGGATTTGTCGAGCTCGTTCTTTGGTAAAAAGAGTGCTGCATGGCTGCAATATATGCAAGCGTTTCAGTGCGGGCCCAGGAAGTGCTGAGACTGCTCAGTTAACAAGTCATCGAGTGTCACCAACGAACCCGTTCGAAGTTGTAGGAGTCGACTTCGCGGGCCCTCTGTATGCACGCACGGAGAAATGGGACAAGAAGTGCTACGTTGCACTTTTTACGTGCGCCGTATCTATAGAGCCGTGCATCTCGAGCTTGTCTCGAAAATGACATCCGAGGCTTTCCTGATGTGGCTACGACGATTTGCGGCTTGGAGACGATTACCCAGGGTGACCTATTCTGACAACACACGAAGCTTTCACAAGACATCGGCAGACATGAAGCGACTACAACGAATGTTCTCTGAAGAGGACGTCGCTGGTCACCTCAGCACCAACGGCATTTCGTGGAAGTTTATTGCACCAAATGCTCCTTGGTGGGGTGGATGGTGGGAGCGCCTCGTACGATCAGTGAAGCTTCCGCTGTGAAACATTATCGGCAAAGCTCGACTGAACTACGAAGAAATATCGACAGTGCTGGCGGACGTCGAAAGAGTCGTAAACTCTAAGCCTCTGACTTTCATCGAGATAGATGCAGGAGAACCTTGCACTTTGACACCAGCCGAACTTCTCCTTGGACGAAGGTTGACTTCCATACCGTATGCGACCGCTGACGAAGTTCACAGTAACTCGAAGGGAGCAGACGCCATCCGCAGACACAACTGCAGAAAGCTGCTGGTTGAAAGTTTTTGGAAGCGTTGGCAAAAAGAATACCTGTTGCAATTACGATCTGCACACTTTGCCGCCACGAAATCAACTACACCATTGAAGAAAGGGGACATCGTTTTCGTGCATGCAGACAGATGCAGGAGAACCACGCCAGCTATGGAAGCTTGCAAGGGTCACGGAAGTGTACCGCAGTGCCGACGGTCTCATTCGTTCCTGCAAGATCAAGTTGCAAGGCGGTCACCTTGCGATCAGGCCGATACAAAGACTGTACCCACTTGAACTATGTGTTTAACTTTGCGCGGCCGGGAATGTTGATTATTTTTCACGTTCCGGGCTGGGACAAGAAAACGAGAAAGAAGAAGAGCGCGAGCAGAGGGAAAGACGCGAGGACGCTCAAGTGACAGCAGAGCGCTTCCGAGCGCAGTTAAATAAACAGGTATATTTTGCCTTATACCTTAAAGACGGAGTTGAGTCTGATCGCAGTGTCTGGAACGCCATCGTCTTAATAGCTGCATGACACTTTTATTAGTTCGGAGAAATATTCTTTCGTATTACACATAATGAATACATATTCTGCGTAATATAAAGGATTTGTAGGTTCAAAACAATTCCTGTTCTCTCATCAATGTAACACCGATTCCGAAAGAACATTCAAGTAAAATTATCCGTAGTTAGGCGACTCCGGACAAAAAATTAGTCGAGCATGGCTCTTGATATTGCCTGAATTTTTCATCCGAATAAACGTCGCCAAACAATTGAACGCGAATATTATACCATACGAACAGAGCTTTTTAACATTGCCCATTGTTTACTTTGCTTTCGCAAAGGGTTCCTTTCACTTATGGATCGCACGAGTAACCAGAATAACGGGCTAAGATGGTGGTTTCGGCTCACTGTCAAGTGTGCGCGGAGAGACGCGCGTTTTCGCCGCCCTGAAAACTGTTCGGCGAGCTCCCGGCATACCACCGTTTCGAGAATTGATCGGCGCGTTTATTGTTTAGTGGACGCGCGTCTACTGAAGCAAAACAGGCGACCCGAAAGAATCGCAAAACGAAGAGAAAAGGAAACCGCGCGCGGCCTGCGATTTATACCCGGTCCTCCAGAGGGCGCAACGTCCGGAACGTGCCTTCCGCCGGCGAAAAAAAAAAAAAAAAAAAAGAAAGGCGATCCTTTCCGAACCTCGGCTGCGACGCGACGTGCGGCGGGGCTTTCAGCCTTGTTACTCAAAACGAATAAGCCCCTGTCCCTTCGTCTGTGCATCAGCAATAGTAGCAGCCGTCTTGCGCTGACCAGGCACGTGAGGATAGAAGCTGTCACCGCCGTTGCAGGGGACACACCTCCCGGCTGACCAATCACAATGGGCCAGTGTTGCGGAAAAGAGGCGCCACGCGGCGGCCGTAAGTACCACGAAAGGCGGCAACGCCGGCCGCTGTCTGATCCACGGCTTTTAGGCCGAACAGCAACTTTTACACGGCCTGACCGGATGTGTAAATTACGCATAAACTGCAACGCGCCGACTTGTGCAACGTTGTTGATAACGGCTCTGGAGGTCGGTCTCACGTCTCGCGAACGTCTGCCGAAGTTATTCAATGAGTACTCGTACAAGTGGTCGGTATTCAAAGAAGAATGGTTGTGCCCACATGTTGTAATAATCGATTTTCGTATTGCTGTAAGTTTTTTTAACTATTCGTTGCAGAGTTTAAGAGCGTTCTAAGATATGAGTGTAACTTATATCTGTTTTCCTCTTTATTGCGCAGGATGCATTGCCCTCTTTTTTTTCGTTTTTCTGTTTCTTTTTGTTATTTTTGCATAGAAAGAAAACTACATTCGATCAGTACCCCTGGATGAAGGTTTCAGCATTCCGTAAATCCTGACGCTGAGTTCGGATATCTCGGGCATGTAATCGCACTCCTCGCGTTTTCTGCTGTTGCGAGTTTTATCTGCACCGGTGGCGTATTTCGACGCGGCAGAGTAGACGCGCCAAAGCTCCCTGATCGGTTGCACACATATCGCGTAAGCTGGAGCCAACACGCTTTTGTTACTCTACGCACTGCCGTTAAAAATATCCAGGTCCGTATTCACGAAAGGTTCTTACGTTAAAATTATTCGTAAGACAAATTTTTAGCCAGTTCTGATGCTGGACACGCTATCGGCGAAGACGACTCGTCCATGGGAAAAGCACGAATGAAAAGCTTTGTGAATTTGGCTCCTGTATTGTAGACCGCTTCTGCAGTACGGAAGCAGAGGCCGCATTCACAAGGTTACCCATGGGCATAGTTTGCAATTGGCCGTGTGCTTTCGTCCCGCCGCGGTGGTCTGCTGGCTAAGATACTTGGCTGCTGACGCGCAGGTCGCCGGATTAAATTCCGGCTTTGGCGGCTGCATTTCCGATGGAGGCGGAAATGCTGTAGGCCCGTTCGCTCAGATTTGAGTGCACGCCAAATTTCAGGAGCCCTCCACTACGGCGTCTCTCATAATTATATCGTGGGTTTGGGTCGTTAAACCACACGTATCGAGCATCATCCGTGTGCTTCCGCTAATATGTGCAACATCACCGTTGGCCGGTTAATGCGATTAGCTTCAGCGTAGCTTCATTGTGAATATCTTCAGCTTAAAATGTAGCGCAGAAAGGAGGGAAGCGACGGGTCGGAGCTTTTCGTGTGGTTTATAATATTGCGTGGAGTGTACATCTCAATTTCAAAAAAATAATCATTTGAGTAACGAATATGATTTGTTATAGGTGAGCTTGCAGGTCTGTGCGAAGCGCTGTACGTTATTCACGACAGCCTTCGCGCAAGTTTCACGAGTATTCAGCGCGTGACACACGTAATAACTTCACGACATCCATCATCTCTATACGCCGCCGCAAGCCATTCACTCTGTACTAGACGCCGCCGAGAATGACCGAGAAGGAAGGCAATGAAGAGCGAAAACAAGAAGGGCGTCATTCGTGTCCAGAGCGCGAGAAAAAGATAAGGCCGGAGGCAGTAAAGAGATAGCGCAGTCGGCGGCCCCTTTGAGCGGATGTGCACGGTTTTCGGCCCCTTCCGTAGCGTAATGCCGGCGGATTTCCTGCACGCGCGCAAACAAACATCGCCGCGTGCGCTGCGATTCGGCGGCGGCTCGCCCTGCCACGTCGTTCGTGAGCGAGACGAACGCGAGTCGTGACTCGTCTTCCAACACACTGAATGCGCCACACACAGGCGCAACTCACGCGGAGCTCTCAAGAAACGCGAAGAACGCAGAGCAAAAAAGACTGTGTAGCTTCAGACGTGCATGGTCCGCCATAGTTTGCCGTCATATCATCAAACGAATTCAACAGTCATATGTAGCTGCGGCCTCGGAGGTTAGGCAAACTACATTAGGATACGCAAATTACATTCTATACACGTCCTGATAACGGAGTGGAATCATGTGCGTCATTAGGTGCCGAACTGCATTTCATACAAGTAAAACGTTTCGTGCAGATTCACACGCGTCAAACAGATTAGCGGTTTCCACTTTCGATGCGGGCACAAAAAGATTTCAACGGCGCCCCTCTGTGCACGTTCGTTCGTTCCGAGTCGCATCAGGGACGTGCTGGCGACCGCGCTATCGACCTCGTCCCGGGCGTCCCTTACTGCGCGTCGCTCGGTCAGTGGCCTCCGGCTTCGGGTGAGCCATGCACTCGATGTCGCAAGCCATTGTTGCCCTTTATATAAGCAATGTTCGTTTATCTGTTTTGAATATTTGTCGCAAGCCGACGGAAGGGACAAAGACCGCAACACGTACATGTTCGCGTGAAGTACACACACGAGAGAAAGATAGAAATAGACCCGCGGCAAAACAGAAGAGGGGTGGAAAAGGCGAAGGGATGGTGATCACGTCACATGCACCGTTTCGCTCGAAGTAAACAACGAGCAGCTGCGGTGAACGTCGTCGGAGAGTTATTTACTCACGTTGGAAAGTAAAGAAAAAACAAACGAACTCGAATAACACGTTTTCGGTGCAATTCGTTTAATTGACACATGACGTCGTTTGTTGCGTAATCGGTCCGTGCGGCTCGCATTGTCACAAGAGCGGGGCGAACTTCCTGCCATGCGATGTGCTCTAATAACGGGGTAAAAACTGGCCAAGTGCAAGGCTTAGCTATTACACCACTTGAGTTAAAGTGGGTTCAGGTATTGCAAGAGTAGTCAAGATTTGAGTAAAGCAACAAAGAAAAAAATATGTTTGTGGGAGGGCGCAGTTAGGAAAGAAAGTAATCTCAAGAAAAATAAACCTGATGCCAAACGATATTCGTAAGCATCATGTTGGACACAACGTCAGGAAGAAAGGCTGCGCTGGCTAGAACGTTGATTACATTCAATCTGCTTGGTGGGCCCGAGGTAAGGCGATTGTTGTGAGACGACGCGCCAGATGGTCTGTTCAGTACGCGGCACCTGTATATAGCGATGGTTAAGTACGTAAATGGAGTATTTCTGTTAATTACAGGGTTCAGTCATGCGAAATAAACAAAGAAACAAATAAATAAATAGTTCACTCGCTGATATCTCAGTTCTTGTTGGGTGCTTTATATTACTCCTCATGTCATTTACCAGAACTTTTGTCATAGTCCAAGCGCTAACTTTGGACATGAGCATGCTACATGCTGCCCCATTCAATCGTGAGTCACCTTTCATGCTGTAACTTCACTTCCCCGTGCAGACCGCTCACCACCCAACGGTCGTGACGCACTTAGCTCGTCACAAAAGCTAAAAACTAGAACAGTGCACCTACACGTTTTAGTCCCGACTGAGAACGATCATTTCCTAGTTATTTATTAATTTTTCGTCATTACAAGATTCAGTCCCAAGGCTGTCAAATTACATTGTTCTACCTCTAAACAGTTCCGCTGCAGTTGAATATCACATTGAATAAATCACACGTGTTCTTTCTGGTGATATCAGCATGTTTTACTGCGCCTGCTGTCTAGCCTGATGCGTCGTTAGCACATCACGAGTGCAGTTCGCCCGAGACCACCTTAACATTTCTTGGCGCGATTCAGGCAGGCGGGTGATGACGCATCGCAGCAGTTTAGTTGTTATTTTACACTTGACTGTATTAAAACGCCTTTGTTGTTTCGTATTTCATTATTCTACTCGAAGCTGCCGTGCTAGCTTTAATAACAATAATTGATGGAGTGAAACGTCCAAAAACCACGATATTGTGCCATGCTGACCTTAAATCGTTACACCGCGATGCCTTATTTGATTTCTTGCTTCACAGTATCCACTCGGGAACAATCTCGGGAACAGTCAATCTGATGGTACGGGTTGTACCGACCACAGTGCAATGTACGCATACCCTTTAGTGTCTCAATTTACCGAATTCTCTGAAAATGTACAGATGGTGCCCCGCCAAGGTGGTCTAGCGCATGGCGAAGGTACTCGGCTGCTGAGCCGCAGATTGTGGGATCGAATCATGGCTGCAGCGGCTGCATTTTTGATGGAGGCGAAAATGATGTAGGCCCGTGTGCTCAGATTTGGCTGCACGTTAAAAAACCCCAGGTGATCAAAATTTTCGAAGCCCTCCACTACGGCGTCTCTCATGATCATAGGATGGTTTTGGGACGTTAAAGACCATATATCTACAAAGATGAATGGCTTCACTATATTGGGAATATATGTTTTGATAATTATAAGAGAAAAATCACGAACTAGGTTTTTAGAGGAGTTTTTTATTATAAAAGACAGTCTACTTACCATGGGTGTTTCCTATACTCATGGTGACTGAGAAATTACAGCGGGAGCAGTAATATTTGTATAAAAATATTTGATAGAGAAAGGATTCGCAAGCAATAAAACCTGCACACCATGAATATTGATTCCTCACCGCGGTGGTCTAGTGGCTAAGGTACTCGGCTGCTGACCCGCAGGTCGCGGGTTAGAATCCCGGCTGCGGCGGCTGCATTTCCGATGGAGGCGGGAATGTTGTAGGCCCGTGTACTCAGAATTGGGTGCACGTTAAAGAACCCCAAGTGGTCAAAATTTCCGGAGCTCTCCACTAAGGCGTCTCTCATAAACGTATGATGGTTTTGGAATGTTAAACCCCACATAGCAATCAATCATGAATATTGATAAAGCTTGCGATTACGCACGCGCTATCTTTGCAAGCCTCTTCCGTTTGTGCACTATCAAGCAATGTCAAGCACCAGGATAAGCATTTTTCGGCCCTTTAAACACCAACCATGCGCGTGGTTTTGTGAAGTAAAAGTGTTATCACCATCGCTATATATTGTGTGTATTCGGGAAATTTCGCGTCAGCCAATTCGACAATGGAACTTTGCCTTTCTCCATTTTTTCTGGCGTTGTATTTCGTCAGATAAGCTGCAATTGCCACGCTTGTCAAAAAAATAATAATTACAAGAAAGGAAGTA